GATTAGTGGCTAACTTAAGACAACTCAAAACTCGGATCAAAACTTTTGGAGAATTCACACGCGTGATTAACATCCAAAAGATCCAGATCATCCGCGAAATCGGCGAAATAAAAGATAAAATCGACCAAATCAACTTTTCTTACACCGTTTTCAACAACTACATGATCGACTTGTACCGGAAGTACGATGTTTACGAACCGGCTATGTTCCGAGCCGAAAAGTCACGAGTTCCCAAAAGACGCAACTTGTACTTTGTGATGGCCAATCCAAGTTCGGATCGCCTGGGGAGTTACGCTCACCGTTTGATTAACGAATACATTTCTAAACACCACACGGCTGACGATATTTACGTGGTGATCGGCGAGGAGTTAGCTCACTTTTTAACTAAGCGCGGAGTCAACGTAGCCAAGCAGATGAAACTCCAGGACATTGACGATCCGTCGATTTACCGACGTATTTCCTGACAAATTTACCGTGGTTACAGCGACTTAATGTTCGTGGAAGCCCAACTAATTTACTTGAGCGCAATTGAGCAAAGAGTGGTCTCACTCAGCATTTACCCGCTTGAGAACAAGACAAAACAGTTGACTAAACAGGACTGGGAAAACTTTGGTTCAGCTATTTCAATCGTGGAAGGAATTGATCTCAACCGGGTAACGTGGCGCCGCGACTTAAATTCGGTGGCCGAACGCATTGCCAAACTAGCGATTGAACTAAAAGTTTATGAATCAATGATTCGCTACCGCCTTTCGCTCAAAACCCGCGAACTCCAGTCGCTGGAGGACAAAGAGAACAACATTAAGAGCGAAGTTGAGCGCGTTCAAGCGATGATGCAAAGAGTTCGGAAAGAAAACATTACTAACGAACTAATCACTAGCGCGGTCGCCTTTTCGGTGATCGGTCTGGAAGAAGAAACCGTTTCCCGCAAAAGGAGGTCCGATGCTTAAGCCACTGGAAATAATTTCCATCTCCCGCGCGTTTAGCGACGTCTTCGCCGCTAAACCAACCCGGGTGCGCCTATTTAACTTTACCCAGGGCATCTTGCGCTTTGATTTAGCCGACGAATCTAAAAAACAAACGGTCGGATCTTACGAAACGACTTGGATCCGGGTTTGGGACGAGTTTGACAAGTACTACGACTTTTTGGCCTCCAGCGTTTTCTTCGTGGCTAGCCAAAAAGGCTTAATGCTGATGTGTTCCGAAGATCTTAAGTACGTTGACATCCAGTACATTTCCCACCTCATCCGCTCTTACGCCGACCGCGATCCGCGCCTAGTTAAATCGGCTTTGGCCAGCGATATTTTCGGTTCTTACTACTCGGCGATCCAACAGGAAATTCAGTTAGCCAACCGTCGTCTGACTCGCTTATCTAAGCAGGCTACTCTTCAAGCTGAGCAACGCTTAGACGTAGAAGACGCCTACGAGCAAGTCCGCAGTTCCTTAGTTCACCACTACCTATTGGACGTGATGATCCGGCGAATCATCCGGGAGAACCGCGCCTTACTGCAGGAGGAGCTAGTCTAATGAAATTACGTGCATGAATATCAGCTGTCTTTACCGGCGTCCTAGCTCTTTTTGGTTCTAGCGGTCTCGCGTTAGCTCAGCCTAGCACTTTCAACGCTCCGAACCACTCATCTTGACAAGCTTTTGAACCGCTCACCGATGGGGACACCCCGCAGACACTTTACACCATTCCAACTTTGCCTTCGCCGACCGAAAACAACAACTCCCGGCAAGTTCAGTCGCTAGTGAGAGGCATGGATCAACTCGGCGTGTACACCGATGAACTGCGCGGTCTTTACGATAACCCACTAATCACGATCGTTGCCGCGATCGCGGCTCCCGAAATTCCGAGCATTAGGGAACGTGCCCAGCGGTTGGAATCGCAGTTTACTAACCGGGCGGAAGTTAACAAAGCTTTCAAGGCACTCAACCAGTTCAAAGTGCTCAGTCCCGAGACTGCTCTCAAAATTCGTCGTCCCGACAGCGTAGTGGACACTTTCAGTGCTGGCACTGGCGGTGCTAGCGGAGCCCAAGTAACGATTCCAGTTGATTTCATGTACAAGGTAGCCCAAATAAACCTCGCTCAGATTCCCGACTTTGAGAGTTACGTTTTCAGTCTCAAAGACGAAAGTGACCCCGATTCTAGTGCTGGTGATTACCAACTGATTCTCAACAACCAAAATAACGAACTTAAGAATATCGCCACTAGCAGTGAAAGTCAATTCACCCTAGCGGAATTAGCCGCCAAAAACACGCTCTTTATCCGCGACCGATTCGATGGACACGTTTACGACTTCGCTAGTCAAGAGACGCCGGACCGAAAAAGTTTGGCCGACGTGATTCACTTGGCCACCACCGCCGATAACTCAATGTTAGAGATCATGGTTAAGCCTTCTAGCGCTGACCAAGTGGTGCATTTTGGCGTCGGATCAGACACGAGCGAAGCGGCTATCCAAGCATTGACTTACGGAATTCTTGACACTTCGCTCAGTCCAATTCACACTAAAATCATGACTAACTTTAACGACACGCGTTATCCGTACTTGGAAGACCCACTTGATCCCGAAGCGCCGCTTTATGATCCGACTGATACCGCCAACGACTTTAGCGTTTTCCTTAACCTTTCTAACTGGCGTCAGGAAGTGGATGTACCGACCCTCGGACAAGGACAAAAAATTCCCGAAGCCGAACATTTGCGCTTTTTCATGGCGCCGGGCACCAAGTGAAGCGAATCGCTCCGCTTTAACAACAAAGGTTCGGATGTTTTTGACGGTCAAAACAACATTTTAGAAATTAATTTCGGCACCGATTTAGTTCCTGATCCTAATCCGAGCAAGTACGCCATTAACACCCGTGATTTCAACGAAGTTGAGCAGGGCGTGGCTCCGATTTCGCTTTCCCTTAATGTGCACGAAGTTTCCGTTGGTGAGCAAACTGACCACTGACTGCAAGTGGATCTCGTGCTCCAGAAAGGAGTCATCCAAATTAACCCAACCGTGCCACCGACTGATGAGCAGAACTACGAAAACAAAAACTGGCGCGACAAGTTCTTCTTTGAACCGCCGCGCGGTGTAGAGCCGATTGAAGACATCACTCAAAACCAGCGACTAATCATCATTGAGGCTAAAGCCGATATCGACGAACTTTACAAACACATGATTGGCTACGTTTACGCCAACTGGTCGCGGAGCATCGATTCTTCTGACCAGTACTTCATTGAGCCTAACCGAGCTTGGTTTCCAAATCCGCCGGCCGCTGAAGGTTACCCCGTTTTCCCAGTCGCATACGAAGGTTACTTTGAGAACGAAAAAGGTGCCATTGTCAACAAAAACACGATTTACCACCAACTGGTTGCTGAGGATCCAATCACCGGTCGCGATCTACTTGACGCGCAAGGTAACCCGATTTTAATTCCCAACACCGGCGTTAACATCGTTCGGCGTCTGGTTGATTCAACTAACCGCTACGCGACTTGACTCGAGAATAAGTTCGGCATTACCGACGACATTCGTGAACAAGACTACTACCTCATGACTGACACCTCCACTAAGTTGTCGTTCATTGAGAAAAGGATCGTTAACAACACCGGTGTCCAAGGTCAAAACTTGATGCAGATTAGCGACGCGATCGTGCGTTATTGGTCCGGCGGCGCTTTGACCGAGGAAATGCAAGCTACCATTAGTGAGATCATTGAGCAATTGGCAGCCCAAAATTTACCTTGGGACCTTGAAAGAGACGTTAAAGACAAAAACAAAGCGCCCGTTGACGGATCGAACCTTGACACTTCTACGCCCGAGTGAAAACGATCGCTCCAGATTGTGATGCACATTATTTCGCGACCGCTCAGCGAAGCGCTAACGGTCTTGTTCAAACTGGAGAAAGACAACTTTGACACTCTTAAGGGAGGTGTCTTAGCTCGCTACATGGGCGAATACTTAGCGACTGAGCGCGACGATGCGATCGGAATTAACCCCGATGTTTTGGGTGAAATTGACACTAGTCAGTTGGCGGCAATTCTTCAAAATATGAAACTTTACTACGCCAAATCAGCCCACTTTACCAAGGTCAACAACGGCAGCCAGGAACTGGGTTCCATTTTAACTTTCATCACCAACAACGCCCTTTACTCCCGCTACTTAGAAGACACTGACCGCCAGAACTTTATCGATTGGTTTTTGGATGGCCAAGGCGACATTCTCAAACCCGAAAGTTACGAAGATCCTCAAAAAGCACGTTTAGCTCAAAATATGATCCACTTGCTTGACAAGATTCTGACCGAAATGATCGGTGGTAATTTCCGAGCTTTGGGGCAAATTATTGATCAAATCACCGCCGGAGAAATTCCAAATGCCGATTACCCGGATGAGATTCGTAAAGTAGTTCGCAGGGCCATCCGAGCGATCGTGGAAAATGACACAACTTACCGCTACGAATATTTCGGTGGGCGCGCCACCTCAACTTACGTGGAAAACTTGGCCATCGGGCGTAACCTTGAGTCAATCATTTCTAAGTATTTGGAGATGCACCCCGAGTTAAGCAAAAAAGAGCAGAATGTGCTCCGCAAAGCGCTTGGTAACGCGGCCTACGATCCAAACACGGTTACCAGCGTCGGCGTTAACGCTGGCTACTACAACATCCGCTACTTTGTCAGCGGTTTAAGCAGTAAAGACCAGGTACCGGCCATTGCCGAAGACTTGCTCCGGAGCGACCTTGTTCGCTACTTATCGCTCCAAGTTCCCTACGGCAGCGAGTTCATTGAAGCGGTCTATAAATCCAGCGCTTCAGCAAAAATCACCATCATCGTGGCCGGGGTAATTTTGAGTATGATTGGCGTAGTCGGCTTGGCGATTACGTGGCGTAAATTCTCGCGTCAAATCTTGACAAGTCGTTCGTTGACCATTTCTCGAACTACCTTTGGCGTCTTCATTGTTGCGGCTCTAGTATTAGTTGTGCTGGGAATTTTTGCGCCGATTGGTTAGAATGTAAGGAAGGTAATTATGGCACTTAAAGTAACAAAAATCAAGGACTACATCGTCCAGGTAACCGGAAAGTACAATTTCATTCTTAACGAAATTGTCCGCTTTCCCAACCAAACCCGGGGCATTGTCATGCGTGCCAACGAACAAAGCGCTGACATCGCTCTTTTTGAAGTTTCCATCGTTGAGCCCATCCAAGTCGGTGACACGTGCAAACCGACTGGTCGCGAATTTGAAATTGAGTTTACCGAGCAGGTGATGGGTAATATCATCAACATTGATGGCGAGCTGATGACTGCTCACCGCTCACAAACGCGCTCTAGTTCCAAAGTGCGTCGGCCAATTTTCCGAATTGCACGACCGATTTACGCTCGCGACTTCGTTAACCAGCCTCTAATGACTGGGTTAGCGGCGGTTGATTGGGCGATTCCGATCGGACGTGGGCAAAGGGAGTTGATTTTGGGTGACCGTCAAACTGGTAAAACCGCCATTGCTCTTAATGCGATGGTGGCTCAAAAAGGTTCCAACACCAAAGTTATTTACGTGGCGATTGGTCAGAAAAAGACTTCCGTGCTCAGCGTTTACCGCAAACTAGAGCAGGGCGGCGTTTTAGAGAATTCTCTCATTGTCAGCGCTTCGGCCGAAACGGTCGCGACTAAGAAATGGTTAGCGCCGTTTGTGGCCGTCACAATCGCCGAGTATTTGCAAGAGACTTACGGCGATGACGTTTTGATCGTTTACGACGATTTGTCCAAACACGCTGACGCTTACCGTGAGTTAGCGCTTCTGATTCGTTCAGCGCCAGCTCGTGAAGCTTACCCGGGCGACATCTTCTACCTTCACTCCAAACTTCTTGAGCGCGCCGGTCGTTTCAACGATAACTTTGGAGGCGGTTCGATTACCGCGCTACCAATTGTTCAAACCGAAGCCGGCGACATTACTTCCTACATTCCAACCAACGTTATCTCAATTACCGATGGGCAAATCTTCACTTCTAAAACGCTTTTTAACTCCGGTCAACGTCCGGCGATTGACGTGCCTTTCTCGGTTTCTCGGGTTGGTTCGGCCGCTCAAACCAAAGCGCTGGCCAGCGTATCGGGTGGTTTAAAGTTGACCATTTCACAATACGAAGAAACTCGCAAACTAGCCCGCCTGACCGGCGGAGCCCAAGGACAAAACGCAACTATTTTGGAAAACGGTCGCGTGTTGACAGCGCTATTAATTCAGCCTGAACTGGACGTGCTCTTTTATGAAACTGGCACTTTGCTCTTGACACTCTACAAACATGGTTACCTCAACTTTTTTGAAGCAACCCACGAAATCGTCTTCATTAAGAAACTGCTCAACACTTACTTAGAAAACGATTTCCTTGGCCGCCATATTCGCAAAATGATTGCGACAAGCGAGGTCAAACCAGCTTTTTCTGAACTGGTTAACCGCGAGATTGTTTTGCCGATGCTCAAGTACTTCTTAATCATGCAGTATCCGCACATCCGTAAGAACGACCGCTTTGTGGAACTTTACCGCGACATTCGCGACGACGGGCGAATTTACAAAAACGTGGCGCGCAACTTAGGAGGTCAATAATGGCTAAAACTCAAACTAAAACTCCGCGCATCAGGTCCAAAAAATCAACTCGTAAACTAACTGGTCGAATCGTTGCGATTAACCAGCAAGTGATTGACGTTCAATTCGGCGCTGGGCAGTTACCTAAAATTGGAGCGCTATTACAAGTTCAAACTAGTTATGGTTCGCAGGAATACTTTGAAGTAGCCCAACTAATTGACACCAACACAGTTCGCGCTTACGCCCTCACCAAAGTTGACGGAACCGGGCTTGGCAACGCTGTTAGCACCGATAATCTTGGGGTCACGATTCCCGTGGGACGGGAAATTCTCGGTCGGGTAATGGACTTGCTTGGACGTCCTTACGACGCCAGCGACCACCCGATTAAAACTAGCGCTCGCCTGGAAATTCTTGACGTTGAACGAACCGAAAAAGAGTCCTACCAAAGCGTGCTTTCGAGCGAGATTCTTGAAACTGGCGTGAAAGTGATCGACCTACTGCTACCAATCCCGCGCGGCGGTAAGGTCGGTTTGCTCGGAGGAGCTGGTGTTGGAAAGACGGTTGTGGTTCAGGAGTTAATCAACTCCTTCATTAAAAACCACGACGGACTATCGGTTTTTGTGGGTATTGGCGAAAGAACGCGCGAAGGTCACGAACTGTGGCAAGAAGCGAAGGATCTTAAGTTCCTGGAAAAAACCGCTTTCATCTACGCCCAAATGAACGAAGTGCCGGGAGCGCGTTACCGCGCTGCTTTTGCCGGCGTAAAAGTTGCCGAGTACTTCCGCGACACGCTCAAGAAAGACATTTTGTTGTTCGTGGACAACATTTTCCGCTACGTTCAAGCTGGAGCCGAACTATCTTCGCTTCTGGAGCGATTGCCTTCCGCGGTTGGTTACCAACCGACTCTCTCGTGGGAGATGGGAATTTTCCAAGAAAGAATTGGTTCTACCAAAGAAGGTTCGATCACTTCTATGCAAGCGGTTTACATTCCAGCTGACGACCTAAGCGACCCGTCGGCTGTCGCGGCTTTTGCCCACTTTGACTCGACAATTATTTTGGATCGGAACATCGCCGCACAAGGACGCTTCCCAGCTGTCAACCCGCTTGAGTCCAACTCTAAAATGTTGGCCCAGGGATCGGTTCACCAACTGCACTACGAAGTTGCGACGCGGGTGCTGGAGTTCATCGAACAGCTCAACCAACTCCAGGACATCATTTTGATTCTCGGTTTTAACGGTTTGACTGACGAAGACAAACACGTGGTTGCGACCGCTCGGCGTTTGCAAAACTTTTTGACCCAACCTTTCGTGGTCGCCGAACGTTTCTCAGGCATTCCGGGTTCTTCAATCAGTTTGGAAGACACGATTGACAGTTTTGCCCGCATCATTACCGGCGAATTAAACTACATTCCCGAAGAACTTTTCCTTTACAAAGGTGACATCAAGCAAGTTTTAGACGAATACCAGGCTAAACGAGAAGACGGTGAAATCACTGAAAGTCCGGATCTAGCTCAACCGCCAGCTCCGGAAGAACCGGAAAAATTAACTTCCCGCGAGAAGAAACAGTTGCGCGCGATTGAACGTGAAAAGGAGCGCATGATCAAAGAGGCTGGTTTAGAGGAAACGGTAGTTCTAGACGTTAACGCCGAGTCTGACCAAACTAAGTCGGAAATTTAACCGTGACTAGTGTTATAATCACTGAAAACTAAGGAGGTAAACCCGTGGCAGTACCAAAACGAAAAACTTCTAAGTCCCGCAAGAATAAGCGGCGGGCACACCACGCAATCAAGTTGCCTAACTTAGTTAGTGTGAGCGGTACCAAAGTACCCCACCGGTTAGTTAAGTACCAAAAAAGAACCGATCTTCATAAATCGAACGGTTAAATTGTTCAGTTTTACCATCCACCGGGTTCCCCGGGGATGGTTTTCTTTTGCGATTTAAAAAAACTTTGCTCTTCGAAAAACTCGCTATAATGTAGGTGGTGATTTGTGGGAGAAAGTGGTAAAAATGTTCGGTAATTTTGAACGGTCACTAGATCAAAAGAAGCGCGTTATCGTTCCGGTTAAGCTCCGTCAAGAGCTCGGAATGGTTTTTTACGCTACGATCGGACCTGACAAAGTGCTTGAACTACGCGACGCCGACTCTTTCAATTTGTGGAAGAGCAAATTACTTGGCAACAACATGCTTAACTCTAAAGCGCGAGTTTTCGCCCGGGTTCTGCTGGGCAACACCGCGGAGTTAAACGTTGACGGTCAAGGCAGAGTCATGTTGCCCGACCACTTGATCCAAGGAGCGCAAATCACCCGGGACGTTGTTTTCGTCGGGGTTGGTAACAAAGCCGAGCTTTGACCAGCCGAGGCGTACCGCAAGTTCCAAAAAGACCACAGTGGTGGAAAATCGCTTGAGGAGTTAGCTCAAAAACTGTTGGAAGATGGCGGTCAGTTCTAATCTAGAGCATGTCCCAGTTTTGCTGGAACAAGTTCTTGACCAAATGGCAATCAAACCAACGGGAACTTACTTAGACTTAACGCTTGGTCGGGGCGGTCACGCCCAGGCCATCCTAACTAGACTAGACCCAACCGGATTACTGATTGGTTTTGACAAAGATTGGCAGGCGATTCAGTTTTGCCAGCGCAAACTAGGTCAAAAAAACCGCTCTAACTTCCGTTTGGTGCACCGGGATTTTCGTTACCTTGACGAAGAACTCGATCGGTTAGGGATCGGTAAAGTTGACGGAATTTTAGCTGATTTAGGCGTTTCCTCACCTCAGTTTGACCAGGCCCAGCGCGGATTCTCCTACTCCCAAGCCGCCCGGCTTGACATGCGAATGGACCAAAGTCAAACGCTTGACGCCCACCAAATTGTCAACAACTTGGCCGCGGATCAGTTAGCGCAGTTGCTCCGGGATAACGCAGATGTAAAACTCGCCCGGCGAGTTGCGAATGCGCTGGTAGCAGAGCGCCCGATTGAAACCACGCTTGAGTTAGCGAGAATTGTTAGGCAGTCGTTGCCCGCTCCGTTAGTGCGACGGAAAAATGTCGTTCGACAAGTTTTCCAAGCGCTGAGGATCGCGGTTAACGACGAACTAGGCGGGCTCAAAAGCATGTTAGAACAAGCGACTAAGCGCCTTAATCCTCAGGGCAGGTTGCTTGTGATCACGTTTCACTCTTGCGAAGATCGAATAGTTAAACGCGAATTTAACGCTTTGACTGACCAAGAAAACAACAAACTACCGGTTGTTCAAACTGTGAACTACCGCGCCAAAAGTTTCCGACCCGAACCACGTGAAATAAGTCAAAACAAACGTGCCCGTTCGGCTCGTCTCCGGGTTTTAATCAACCTACACTAACCTTAGAAATACCCATGAAACGCAACATCGTCACCAACTTTTTAATTCACCAGGATGCGATCGGTATCCAAGTTTACGAAAAGTTACCAACCGCCACGGTTGAACTTTTTAACGTCCAAGCTCCGTGAACCGACTACCACCTCTTTATTAAAGAAACTTTGCGAGCAGTCGAAAAAGTGGTCGGTGGCAAAATTAGTCGTGTTTCGGTTATTCTTGACCCGTTTGAAGAAGTGAAGCAACAAATTAACCTCGTAAGTCAATCGATCAAAATTCCCAACGGACTAGTTCAGCGCCAAGACATTGATAACTTGCTCGCCCTAGTTCGCGAGAACAATGCGACTAACCAGCGGGCGTTAATTTTGATTCAACCGCTTCGTTTTCAAGTTCACGACGTAGTGGTTAAAAACTACAGCAGTGCTCCGCTCAACAAACGCGGTCAAAAACTGACTGCTCTTCTAGCGGTTACGACAATTAGTCGGCAAATCGAAAGTTTTATCAACAAACTCGTTCAAGTTCACGAACTAAAAATTAACCAAATTGTGCTGACCCCACAAGCTCGCGCTTTAGCCAGTGCGTCCGACGGAGCTCAGTCGCAAGGAGTGGTAAGTTTAGATTTAAGTGGTCAACACGCCTACCTAACTTTAATTAAAAACCACGCCGTTGTTTTGATGCTCCAGTTGGCCCAAAGCGGTTACCGAAGTTGACTGAAAACGCTAACTCAAAAGTTTGCTTTTGAGAGTGAAAAAATTGAGCGACTTCTCTTAGTTCACGCTGATTTAGCGCCGGGCGAACCACTGCAAGTGAGTCCGCTCAGCCTTGATCAGCCCAATTTGACAAGTGGTTGACTAACCCAGTTTTGCCAAGTCCGCCTCGCTCGGATTCTTTTAGTCGTTCGCGGCTACTTAGAAAAAAAGCTAGGTCCACGGTATTTGGATCTCCCGTTCGTAATCGTGGGAGGGCTAACGAGTTTAGAAGGTTTAGAAGAATTTGCCCGTCACAAACTCGGGCAACAAAATGTGTCGGTTTACGCTCCCATGACGTTCGTCGAGCAGAGCTCTCACAATTTGCCGAGTTTAGGACTGATCAAATTGATGGAGAAGAGTGATCAAATTAGTGGCGTTCACTATGATACAATCGTGGAGACAAATCCTGATTTACTGAGCGACTTTAAGTTAGTCGGTCAGAAAAGTAAGGGATTTTGAAATCGCATCTACCAATGAATTGGAGGAAGAAATGGATGAAACTAAACAGCATTTAGATTCAATCGTCAAAATCAAGGTGATCGGAGTCGGAGGGGGTGGCAGCAACACGATTCACTCCATGATTCAAGAAGGAATTCAAGGGGTTGATTTTATCGTCGCTAACACCGACCAACAAGCTCTCAATTCTTCGATCGCCCAAGATCGGTTGACGCTTGGTAAAAGCGCTCGTGGTCTAGGAGCCGGAGCCAATCCGGAGGAAGGACACCGCGCAGCGACCGAAAGTGAGTCGGAAATTCGCGACTTACTGGAAGGCGCAGACATGGTGATCATTGCATCGGGGATGGGAGGTGGCACAGGCACTGGCGCATCGCCGGTGATTGCTAAAGTCGCCAAACAACTCGGGGCGCTGACGATCGGAATCGTCACCACGCCGTTTGCTTTTGAAGGAACTAAACGAATTGACAACGCCAAGTTAGGGCTAGACAACTTGCGCGCCGAAGTCGACTCGCTGATTGTCGTTTCTAACGACAAACTACTTCAACAATTTGGCAGCATTTCCTTGAAAGACTCTTTCATGTACGCTGACAAAGTGCTTAAGCAAACCGTGCGTACCATTACCGATCTGATCGCGCTTCCGGCTCTAATCAACTTAGACTTTGCCGATGTAACCACCGTAATGCGCAACAAAGGACCGGCTTTGATTGGAATTGGTAAAGCCAACGGTCAAGACAAAGCGATTAAAGCTGCTACCCACGCCATTTCAAGCCCGATTTTAGAAGCTTCGATTTTCGGAGCCCAAGATGCGATCATTAACATTTCCGGTGGCGACATTACGCTTGACGAAGCTAACAAAGCCGTCGAGACGATCAAAAAAGCCGCCGGCGACGAACTGAACATCATCTTTGGTGTTTCAATCGTGGAAAGTCTTGGTAACGACATCCAAGTTTCCGTGATAGCGACTGGTCTTAAACAGCAAAAACCGATCACTCAGGAGCAAATTAAGGAGCAGGTGTCGCAAGTTTTGGACACGATTGACCTTGATTTTGAAGACGAGGGAACGCGGGAGTTGCTGGTCAAAGATCCGTTCCCGGAAAGTGCTAAAATGCACATCAGCGAAGAAACGCGTGTCAAACCAGTCAGCGCTGATGATTCGCTTGAATTAGTCGACGAAGACGAGACTGATGACTTGCCGAGTTTTTTGCGTCGCTAAAGTCCAAATGGCTGAGAAGTAAGGCCAAGCAATTGGTTGCGAATCGGCCGGATTTGAAAACGCCTGAGCTCGCTCGTTAGTGAAACTAACTGCTAACCACCCGACCGGGTGGTTTTATTTTGCGAGCCTTTGTTTACAATTGAGCTATGGACTGACCCAAAGCTTTGATCAACGAAGGCCAAGCAATTTTAGATTCGCTCGACTGGAGTGAGCCGATCACGCCGCAGCGCGAGCAAGTGCTCAGTTTTTTTACGCTTGACCCCGCGCAAATAAAAGTTGTTATTCTTGGTCAAGACCCTTACCCGACTCCCGAAGTAGCTAACGGCTGAGCCTTTGCCGTCAACTCTTACGCGCCGATTCCGGCCTCGCTGGCTAACATCTTCCAGGAGATTCGCCAAGTGCAGGGAAAAGTTTACGCTGACCGAACGCTGAGACACTGAATTAAACAGGGCGTTTTACTGCTCAACACATCTTTGACCACCCGGATCCACATGCCTAACAGTCACAAACACATTTGGCAAAGTTTCACCGAAAAAGTCATCCGCTGACTTGACCAAAGCCGGGCGCCAATTTGGGTGCTCTGGGGCAATGAAGCTAAAAACTACCGCCGGATCATCACTAGCCAAACGATCGTGGATGCCCACCCTTCGCCGCTCAGTTTCAAATACCGCCGTCAACACACTTTTGCGGAGCTGATTCGGCTGACTGACATCACTTGATAAGGTATAATTTGAGCATGAAAAAAACCGCTCAAATTTTACTTTTAGCCGCCACCGGATTTGAAGATATCGAACTGATCACCAGCGTTGATGTTTTTAACCGCGCTGGCTTTGAAGTCACGATCGTTTCGCCCGAAGACAAAGAGTTAGTCAAGGGCAAATATGTGGCCCAAGTCGCCAGTCAAAAGATGTCAAGTATCGATCGCTGGGACCAGTTTGACGCGCTAGTTATTCCGGGCGGACCTGGTCACGCGGTTTTGCTCAAAAATGCCAAGGTGCTCAGTTTAATTAAACGTTTTAACGCGGCTCAGAAACTAATCGGCGCTATTTGCGCGGCTCCGCAACTACTGGTAAAAGCCGAAATCGTCCAAGAGCGTCCGATTACGGCTTACCCCGGTTACGGCCTGACCAAGACCAACAAAAAAACCGCGCTGGAAGTAGCGGATAACTTAATTACCGCGCGCGATTTTGAACAAAGTCTCTCTTTTGCCCAGGCGATTGTGGAAGCGTTGGGCGGTCAGATTGAAGTTTAGTTAAGACGTTTTTCGTCGAAGACAAATTCGCTGTTAAGCGACTTAACTACGTACTGGGTGTGCTCTTTAATTTCGTTGCTAATGATTCGTCGCGCTAAATCTGACTCTAAGTTTTTAACGATGTAACGCTTGATTGGTCTGGCTCCAAAAAGCGGATCGTAACCTTCGCTGGCGATTTTATCAACCACCCCCTCGTCAAACTCAAGCAAGATGTTGCGGTCGGACAGACGGCGAGTTAACTTCTCAAGTTCGACGACGGTGATTTGACGAACCGCTTCCTCGTCCAAAGCGTTGAAGACGACGATTTCATCGACGCGGTTAATGAACTCGGGTCTGAGAAATTTGTAGAGCAGTTTGGTAACTTGCTCGTTTTTCTTGCCTTCCAAAATGTCAAGCGAGCCGATGTTGGTTGTCATGATCACGATCGTGTTTTTAAAGTCAACCACTTTGCCTTTGCCATCGGTCAGTCGTCCGTCGTCAAGCACTTGCAGCAAGATGTTGAGCACTTCGGGGTGCGCTTTTTCAATTTCATCGAGCAAAATCAGCGAGTAAGGTCTTAGCCGAACCGCTTCGGTTAGTTGCCCGCCCTGGTCAAAGCCGATGTACCCCGGCGGAGCACCGATTAGACGTGAGACGGCGTGTTTTTCCATGTACTCGGACATGTCTAGGCGGATCATGCTTTTTTCGCTGTCAAAAAGTTCGTAAGCGAGCGCCCGGGCGACCTCGGTTTTACCGACCCCGGTCGGACCCATGAAGATAAACGAACCGATCGGTTTATTCGGATCGTTGATGTTGGCTCGTGAACGTAAAATTGCGTCGTTAACTAACTTAAGCGCGTTAGTTTGACCTTTGATGCGCTGGGCGAGGTGTTTTTCCAAAGTGAGCAGTTTTTCGCGTTGACCTTGGAGCAGTTTGGTGATCGGAATTCCCGTTCACTTAGCGACCACGTTGGCGATCTCTTCCTCGTCAACGTCTTCCTTAATCATTGAGTTTTCGCGCTGACCAGCTTGTTCCTCGGCTTTTTGAAGTTTTTTCTCCCAGTCAGGAATTTCCTTGTAGAGCAAGATCGAAGCTTTTTCAAACTCGCCCTCAGCCTGGTAGCGTTGCTGCTGAACTTTGAGCTGCTCGACTTTTTCCTTGTACTTACCGATGTCACGGAGAATTTCTTTCTCCCGGTTCCAGGCACTGCGGAGTGCTTTGACCTCTTTTTCGGTTTCGCCGATTCGGTCTTTGATCTCGCTCAGTCTTTCGCGCGACTTAGGATCTTTTTCGCTCGAAAGGGCGACTTTCTCCATCTCTAGCATGGCTAAACGCTGCTCGACTTTTTCAAGGTCCTCGGGTTTGGAGTTCATTTCGGTTTGAATCGCCGCCGCTGCTTCGTCAACTAGATCGATCGCTTTGTCGGGTAAAAAGCGGTCGGAGATGTAACGACTAGATAGTTTGACGGCCGTGACCAAGGCGTTGTCGTGGATTCGCACCCCGTGGTAAGACTCAAATCGGTCTTTCAGTCCCCGCAAGATGGTCACCGTTTCTTCTTCGGAAGGTTCGGCGATGTAAACTTTTTGGAGTCTGCGTTCGAGGGCTGGGTCTTGCTCAATGTACTTGCGGTGCTCGTCAAGCGTGGTCGCTCCGATCAGACGCATTTCCCCGCGTGCTAGCATCGGTTTAATGATTTGAGCCGCGTCCATGCCGCCTTGAGCGTTTTTACCCGTTCCCACGATCATGTGGATTTCGTCAATGAAAAGAATTAAGTTGCCCTGGGCTTCCTTAATTTCCTTCATGAGCGACTTTAGTCTTTTCTCAAACTGACCTTGGAAAGAGGCGCCCGCGATCAAAGCCGGAATGTCAATCTCTATCACTTCCTTGTCCTTTAAGTTCTCGGGCACATCGCCGCTGAGAATTTTTTGGGCCAAACCTTCGGCAATAGCCGTTTTACCCACGCCTGGCTCGCCGACTAAGACGGGGTTATTTTTGGTTTTACGGGACAAGATGCGGATGATGCGACGAATTTCGTCGTCGCGACCGATGACCGGGTCAAGTTTACCGCGGGCCGCTTCGTCGGTTAAATTGCGCCCGAAGTCTTTGAGCGGGTTGTTTGATTCTTGGGTGGGGTTAAAGCTAAATTCCATGCGATCTCCTTGCTAACTAATTATAGCACGTTTAGCACTCTAAGGTGTCAAGTGCTAAAACACCAGTTCAGATTTACTGAAATTATAAGTTAAACCCCGTGTGCCGGGTTGGTTTATAATGCAGGCACTGCCCTTTCACTTATGAAAAAGACCGTTTCTGCCGCTTCCGATTGAAAATCAACGCTCTTAATGCCGCGAAGCGATTTTTCTTTGCGAGCCCACCTGGCGACCGAGGAACCGCGCTGACGCGATTTTTGGCAAAAGAACCGGATTTACGAGCGCGCACTCAAGCAAAACGCCCGCGGCGGTCAGTTCGTCTTACACGACGGACCGCCCTACGCCAACGGATCGATTCACCTCGGTCACGCGCTCAACAAAATTCTCAAGGACATCGTTTTGAGAAACAAAACTTTGGAAGGTTACGCCACGCCTTTTGTGGCAGGCTGGGATACCCACGGACTCCCGATTGAAAACCAAGTTTTGACCAAGCTGCGACAAAATTACCAAGGCGTTGATCCGGCTCGACTCCGCCAAGCGGCCCAGGCTTACGCCGAGCAGCAAATTCAAATTCAAAGACAACAGTTTTCTGCTTTGCAGCTTTGACCCGATTTAACGAATTACTACCAAACCGATCAGCCCACTTACCAAGCTCGTCAGTTGGAGGTGCTAGCCAAACTGGTGGCCGATAAGTTGGTATTTCGGGCGCTGAAACCGATTTACTGGTCGCCTTCTTCGCAGAGCGCTCTGGCCGAGGCAGAAATCGTTTACAAAACTCTCAGTTCACCGCAAATTTACGTGGCTCTCAATTTGGTGAGCGGCAACCAAAAGGTGCCACCTCACACCAAGTTAGTCCTAATGACCACCACGCCCTGAACTTTGCCAGCTAACAGCGCCTTAGCCGTCGGTGGTCAAATAAAGTACGCGCTCGTCAAAACTAACGGGCAAATTTTTTTAGTTGCCGAGGCGGGCCTCAAAAAGCTTGCTCAATTAGTCGGTTGAACTAATTACCAAGTGGTCCAGTTGCTGAGCGGCCAAGACTTAGTCGGTCTGACCTACCAGCGACCTTTCAGCGAGCGACCTGGCCCAGTCGTTTTAAGCGAGCACGTTGACGCCCAGGAAGGAACGGGCCTAGTTCACTTGGCGCCTCTGTTTGGCGTGGATGATTACCAGCTCGGCCAAAAATACGACCTCGAGATGATTATGCACTTGGACGACCGGGGCGTGTTCAACCAGGCCAGTCCGATCGCTCAAGGTCAGTTTTACCTCAAAGCCAATCCGATCATTTGCCAGTTTCTGCGCGAGCACGGTCAACTCGTGTTCGAGCAAGCGGTCACCCATTCCTATCCCCACGACTGGCGAACCCACCAACCTGTCATTTACCGGGCGACCAAGCAGTGGTTTGTTAACTTAGCGCCTCTCCGCGGACGCTTGAAAAAAGCGCTAACTAAGGTCAGTAGTTACCCCGGATGAGGCACCGAACGTCTTTTAACGATGGCCGTCGCCCGCGAGACGTGAACGATTTCGCGTCAAAGAAGTTGGGGCGTGCCGCTGACGATATTCTACGATCGCGATGGCCAGCCCGTTTTTGAACCGGCTCTTTTTAAACACATCATCCAGCTCGTCGCCAAGCACGGCAGTCAAATTTGGTGGGATTGACCGACCGAGCAGCTCGTTCCGACCGCTTTTGCTCAGCGAGCCCAAGATTGAAAAAAAGAGACCGACATCATGGACGTCTGGTTTGATTCCGGCACTTCTTTCCGCCTGCCTTTTCTCAAAAGTCAACCGGCTGATCTGTGTTTAGAGGGAGCCGACCAGTTCCGCGGCTGGTTTAATTCTTCGCTGGTCAACAGCGTGGCTTGGCATGATCAAGCGCCGTTTAAAAAGATTATCTCGCACGGGTTTGTGCTGGATCAAGCCGGCCACAAAATGGCTAAGTCGCTCGGTAACGTGATTGATCCGGCCCAAATTATTGACCGTTACGGCGCGGAGATTTTGCGACTTTGGGTTGCGACTTCCGAGTACAGCGCGGACGTGAATGTTTCGGAAGTTATTTTAGAGCAAGTTGCTAGTTTGTACCGGGGACTAAGAAGTAAAATCAAGTTCATGCTGGGCGTGCTATTTGACTTTGTTTGGAACCCGCAGACTCAGCCAGTTTACAGCGAGCTAGACCGGCTGGTTCTCAGCGATTTGGCCCGTCTCAAGAAATCGGTTCGACACGAATACGATGCGGCTCGCTTTAACCAAGTGGTTAACTTAATCAACCTTTTTGTGCTCGATCTCTCCTCGTACTACCTGGAAGTTTCCAAGGACGCGCTTTACGCTGACGCGGCTAATGACCCGGGTCGCAGAGCGATTCAAAGCGTTCTCTACCAAGTGTTAATCTTCATTTTGCAAGCAATGGCGCCGGTTTTGCCCACGACTTGCGAACAAGCTTACCAAGCCTACCATTTTGACCAAAAAAAGGACTCAATCTTTTTGACCAAGGTTGATTACCGCGCTCAAGCTTTACCGGTCGACTCCGAGCGCTGGAAGCAGTTTTTTCAGCTTAAGGACTTGGTTTTTAAAATGTTGGAGGAGGCTAAGCAAGCCGGGCAGATCGGACGCAGCTACGCGGCTCAAGTAACTTTGGAAAAAAAGTGGCCCGAGTTGGAAAAGTGGGACTTAGCTAGGCTACTCATGGTTGGTCGGCTGGTTTGGGGAGAAACTAACCGAGTTGAGCGCTTTGATTCGGTTAAGTGCGTGCGCTGCTGAAACCACTACTTAGCTGAGCAAGTTAACCAGGAAAGTCTTTGTCAGCGCTGCCAAGAAGTTTTAGTTTTGCAAGGTGCGAGCAGAGTATAATTTAGGCATGGCATTTTTCCCCAACATCACAACTTCCCATCCCAAACGTCGTCGTCGACTGATCAACCTTTTGATCGTCTTGCTAGTTAGCGGAGTTTTAATCGCGCTTGACCAGTGGTTGAAAATTTTTGTGTTTAGCCGTGCCGTTTTTAAGGACAAGGGTCTTTCGCTCGGTTGAATCGGTTTTCGGCAAGTCGAACACCCTAACTCGAGTCTCTTCAGTTGACTCAAAATCCAGGTGCCGCCGATCGCTTTTGCCGGCGTTGGCACCGCTCTAGCGGCGGTCGTGTTTTTGCTGGCCGTCTTAAGTCGCCGCAAAATTGTCGCCCTTTGTTTGGCGATTACTTTGGCGGGTCTGCTCGGCAACACGGTGGACTGGTATCTTTTTGGGTACGTTCGGGACGTGATTTATACCCCTTGGGCCGACCGCGGGACTTTTAACATCGCCGACGTTTTGATCGTTGGCGGCGCTTTAACAACGATTGTGGTGGTGATAACATGCGAAGTGATCGCCACGGTTCGCAACCGCGCGGTAGTTTAGTCCTGAGCGGTAAGGGGTGCCAGCTGAAACTAAAAACTGACCCAGCCGTCGCGTCGATCATTAAGGCTGAAGAGCAACGCCAAAACGCCGAAATCGAACTAATCGCTTCGGAAAATTACGTTTCCAAAGCGGTTCTCGCGGCGACAGGTAGCGTTTTAACCAACAAGTACGCCGAAGGCTACCCGGGTCGGCGTTACTACGGAGGCACCGAGCAAGCCGACCAAATTGAACTTTTAGCAATCCGCCGGTTGTGTCAACTTTTCAAAGTTAACTACGCCAACGTGCAACCCCACTCTGGCACCCAAGCTAACAACGCGGCTTACTTAGCGCTCATCAAACCGGGTCAGAAAATTCTCGGTTTAGCACTGGCTGCTGGCGGCCACCTTTCGCATGGCTACCGGGCTAATTTTTCCGGACTTTATTACCAAGCTGTCAGTTACGATGTCGATCAGCAAGGCCGACTTGATTACGATCAAATTGAAAAAATTGCTCGTCGCGAGCGACCGGCTCTGATCGTGGCTGGTTACTCGGCTTACCCGCGCCAGATTGACTGGGCGCGCTTTCGCCAAATTGCCGACCGAGTCGGGGCCTACTTAGTTGCTGATATTGCTCACATCGCTGGCTTAGTGGCAACGGGTATGCATCCGAGTCCGGTTGGTCACGCCCACGTGATCACCTCAACCACTCACAAGACTTTGCGCGGTGCCCGCGGCGGAGTTGTCATGACTAACGACCCCGACTTGGCCCGCAAAATTGACCGGGCCGTGTTTCCGTTTTTACAGGGCGGTCCGCTTATGCACGCTATCGCTGGTAAGGCGGTAACTTTTGGTGAAGCGCTTTTGCCGGATTACAAACTTTACATCCAAAGAGTGGTTGAAAACGCCCAGGCGTTAGCCAGAGCTTTGACTAAACTGGGGGCCCAAGTTGTGACCGGCGGCACCGACACCCATCTTTTAACGGTGGACGTTAAAAAGTCCTACGGATTAACCGGTCAACAAGCGGCCGCTCAACTGGAGGAGCACGGCATCATCGCCAACAAAAACATGGTTCCTGGCGACAGTGAGCCACCGACAGTTACTTCCGGAGTTCGTCTCGGCACGCCAGCGATGACTACGCGCGGTTTTGGTCGCACCGAGTTTGAAAAACTGGCCCAGTTGATCGACCAAATTTGACGCGGTAACTCGGCGGGCGTTAGTCAGCAAGTTGCTGCTTGAGCCGAGCAGTTTCCAGTGCCCGACCATTTTTTTAACCAGAACGCGAGTCGTTAATCTAGTCAAAAAAGAGAACTTAATTTGCTTTGAAAAAGCGCCTGATTTTGGGACAATTTCCAATTGATAGTGATTAATTTTGGTTGATGTATAATGTGTCTCGTATGACTAGTACATACGATAACAAAAATCCATCATCAGGATTCCGAGCAAAGATCTCGTCCTTTTTTGACTGACAATTCATCAAAAAATCGATTCGATTAATGCTGCCTGTGGTGATCCAGTCAATTTTCATTGCGGGAATCAACATGGTTGACACGATGTTCATTTCCAACTTGATTGGTGAAGACGCCACAGCGGGAGTCGGCTCTTCCAATGCCGTCTTTCAACTGATCCTGTTCACGGTCATTTCGGCCTGTGTGGCGGGAGGTATTTTTACCGGTCAGTATTTCGGTGCTAAAAATACTCCTAAAGTCCGTGAAACAGTCAGCTGGAAAATTGTCATTGGAACTTCAATCGCCCTTGTTCTAACTGGTGTGCTAACGGCTGCGGCCCTAGCGCCCAAAAACGACCAGGGGCTTTTTTACTTTTTCCTCTCAAACAACGGAGGGCCTAACAGCGCGGCGATTAAACACGCTAAAGAGTACTGAGCGCTTGTTTCGTGGTCATTTGTTTTGCTGGGTCTAGTTTTGCCGATCCAGTTCACGTTCGTTGAGTGAGGTAAGCCACTTATCCCGATGATTGTCTCAGGAACAGCTTTCATCATCAACAGTACGCTAAACCCACTGTTTATGACGGGCTACAACGGGTTGATCAAAAATTGGAGGTTTGACAACTACATTTCCGGTGACGCGGTTCGCCGGTACTTAGAAGGTGCTTTAGAAAATTGGGAACAAATTAACCGCGACATTCAGAACAACATCAATGTTCCCGCTAATATTCCTGGTCTAACGGCTGACCAAGTTAAGACAGAGTCAGAAAACATTTTAAACCTTGTAAACGCCAGAGGAACTGACGCCAGCTGGAACAGCGTCTGGCAAAGTCTCTCTGCACCTCAGCGCTGAATTGTTGTCGACTTAGCGCTTTGAAACGTGCCGGGTGCAATTTTGACTACCGCCGATATTCGAGACTACGGTCTTGATGCTGAAAGTGTCAATAACATTGAACAGCTCCGGGAAAACATCGTCACCGTTACGAGCGGTGCCGACGGACTTAACGTCTTGATGCCGAAAGCGGGTCAAAGTGCTAACAGTTCAATTGAAGGCATGGATTACGCTCTGATTGAACACGACGGTCACAACCCAATCTTCCGGGTAACCCAGTGGGGTATGGGAGTTAAGGGAGCCGCTTGAGGAACGATTACTTCCCGTGTCTTTGAAGCGGCAACTTACGTCGGGCTCTGCTTCCTAATGCCAAGCGTTCGTGCGGCTTTCAGTCCTTTCTCCCGCGACCAAGTTCTTTCCAAAGATCTGTTTGTGAAAGTGCTCGGAAACTTCGGGAAAATTGCTTTCTCGGACGTATTGTTCTCACTCTCCCTAGCGCTAGTGCAAATCGTGATGATTAAACTAGGGGGACCAACTTCCGGAGACTTAGGTATGAAAGCGATTGTGATCACGATGACGATCGTTAACCTATTCTTCGCGATTTTCCAAGGTTACCGGACTCTGATTCCTTACTACGTCGGAACCCGACTAGGAGCTGGTGACCCCGAAGGCGCTAAACTAGCCTTCAAACGCTTCTGCGGAATGGTGCTCATACTGTCATTAATCTTAGCTTTTATGCTACTGATGATCGGTATTTTCGGAATGGGACCAATCTTCCGTCTACCAGCCGGCAGCATGCTACTCTTCTACACCCAGTGGCACACCGTCTGGCACGCGTTCGGATTCTTCTTCCTATCGTTCACGATGGTCTTCCTATCGGTTCTGCGGGTAGGCGGAAGAGCGATGCTCTCCTCAGTCTTAGACGTTCTATCAGCTTACATATTCATCGTCGGATGGTTCTTAATTTCACTTGGAATTAGTTCCGCGATTTTGCCAATTGATCCTGAAACCAACGCCAAAGCAATTAACTGAACCGGAGTAACCGTGGCGCTAGTCGGCAACGGCTTCGGTGAATTAATGAAGTGCATCGTGCTTGGAATCGCTGTTTACCGCGTTGACTGAGCTCGCACACTAGTTTAAGCCACAGTCTTTTAATAAAAGTTCTGCTCCTGAGCGGGCGGAACTTTTTATTTTTGTATAATGGGAAAGTTGTTCTGACAGAAAGGTTAAATCGCAATGAATATATTTTTTGAAATGTTTGGAATTATCGGGGGAATTTTGGTGACAATCTCCTTCCTACCTAACGCCATCCGCACCATCCAAACTAAGCAAACTGCCAACTTGTCGCTTTCGCAGTACTTAATTTTCCACTTGGGAGCGCTTTTCTTCATGATTTACGGGATTATTCTCTTACTTGAGAATGGTCCGGCTGCCTACGGGGCTTACGGCTTAATCGTTTCCAACGCGATTGCTTTATTCATGAATTCAATCGTAATTTTCTACATTTTTCGCAACCGCCGGATTTAACTCGGTCACCGTTTTGGAAATCTTTCTTCCAGTTGCTTTTTGTTTATAATTTCATCGGTAAAGATTTGACTAACCGCTCCGGTTGTCGCTGGTTTTTTGTGGGTCAAACGATCCGACACCAAACTTCTTTACCTACCTGCTTGAGACGAATAAGGTTAGGCGGGTAGATCAATTGCAAAGGAAGCAACAGTGAAAAAAGGTTTTATCGTTAAAGNACCAAAGGGGTGCGCTACTTTGAAACGATCGGTCGCGAGGTTGATTTAGCAATCGCTAACTTAGGTGAAAACATCACCTACGGCTCAATTAACCAAGTTGTCGACCGAATCGGCGATTTTTTGCTCGAGCAAAGCGTACGGGACCTAAAAATCATCAGCACTAAGTACATCAACTCGATTTCGTTTGAACCGCTCGTTTGATCTCTGGCCCAAGCAACCGAGCAAGCCGAGATGACTTTGGACGAGGAGTTGACCGACTTTGAACCTAAAGACGCTAGCATCGTCAAGCAGATGCTACCGTTTTTCATCGCCGGTTTAGTTTTTGATAAACTGGTGGAGTCCAAAGTTTCCGAGATGGCTTCGCGCCGGATCGCGATGGAAAACGCGACCGACAACGCCGGTGAACTAATTGACACTTTGACAGTTCGTTATAACCAAGCGCGCCAAGCGGCGATCACCCAGGAAATTAGCGAAATTGTGGCTGGCAGCCAAAGTTAGCCCGAAAGGAACACATGCCAAAAAACTACGGAACGATTACCCAAGTTTTGGGACCGATTATTGATGTTAGGTTTGCCGACCATAAACTGCCGGCTTTGCTGAATGCGCTTGAACTCGAGACTAAAAACGACAAACAAGTTTTTGAAGTCGCCCAACACATCGGTAACGACACAGCCCGCTGCATCGCGATGGGTTCAACTTTTGGTTTAGTCCGCGGTCAAAAAGTTTTTGACACCGGCGGACCGATTTCGGTGCCAGTCGGACCAAGTGTGTTAGGTCGCATGTTCAACGTGCTCGGAGATCCGATCGACGAAAAACCTTTCACAAAAAAAACACCCCGCGATTTTATCCACCGCAGCGCTCCGACTTACGCTCAGCAAAGCACCGAAGCGCAAATTTTAGAAACCGGCATCAAAGTCATTGATTTGCTGATGCCCTACGCCCGGGGCGGGAAAATTGGTCTTTTTGGTGGCGCTGGAGTTGGTAAAACTGTTTTGGTCCAGGAACTAATTAACAACATCGCCACCCAGCACGGCGGACTGTCGGTTTTTGCCGGTGTCGGCGAAAGAACCCGGGAAGGCAACGACCTATACCACGAAATGGCTCAAGCCGGCGTGTTAGATAAAACCGCGCTCGTCTTTGGACAAATGAACGAGCCGCCCGGAGCCCGTATGCGCGTTGGTCTGTCGGCGCTAACGATGGCCGAGTACTTCCGCGACAAGCAAGGGCAGGACGTTTTGCTCTTTATTGACAACATTTTCCGCTTCACCCAAGCCGGTTCGGAAGTTTCGGCTTTGCTGGGTCGCATGCCTTCGGCCGTGGGCTACCAGCCAACGCTTGCTTCGGAAATGGGTCAACTCCAGGAACGAATTACGACCACCCAAAAAGGTTCAATTACCTCGGTTCAAGCTGTTTACGTGCCCGCCGACGATTTAACCGACCCGGCACCCGCGACGACCTTTACTCACCTGGACGCTAAAACGGTTTTAGACCGGAACATCGCCGCGCTAGGAATTTACCCGGCCGTTGATCCGCTCGCTTCGGCTTCAAGATTGCTCGATCCCGAGGTCGTCGGTGAAAAGCACTACCAAGTGGCGCAAGAGGTCAAAAACATTTTGCAGCGTTTTAAAGAACTACAAGACATCATCGCGATTTTAGGCATGGACGAGTTGTCCGAGGAAGACAAGAAAGTCGTTCAGCGCGCCCGCCGGGTACGCAACTTTTTATCGCAACCGTTTTTCGTGGCTCAGAAGTTTTCCGGAATTGAAGGTAAGTTTGTCAAGATTGAGCAAACCATCCGCGGGTTTAGCGAAATTTTAGCCGGTCAGCACGACACTTTGCCCGAAAGCAGTTTTCTTTACGTCGGTACGATCGATGAAGCATTAGCTAAGGCTAAGAAGGAAAGGGAATCAAACGCTTAGCGATGAAACAAACCCACTTGACGATTCTAACTCCCTACGGCGTTTTCTTTGACGACCCGGTTCCGATCGTGACGGTCAAAACAACCCGCGGTTACATCGGCGTTCAAGCGGGTCACACCCCGCTTGTGGCGGCCTTAGACATCGCCCAAGCTAGCATCGGACTTGAAAAAAGTCGTTCCCACAAAGTCTTGGCTCTCGGCGGGGGCTTGATGCGAGTTGACGCCCACGGCGTGAAGATCGTCACCCCCGCGGCTGAGTTTAAAGACGCGATCGATCTCAAACGAGCCGAGACAGCTCGGGTTGACGCTGAGAAAAGACTGCGCGAGGAAAAACTTTCCACCAGTCAGCAAATTCGTTACACTTTCAAATTGGAACGAGCGCTCAACCGGATTAAAGTTGCGCGCGGAGAGTAATGCCCTGGTACGTTCAACTAACAATTTACCTGATCGCCCTGCTGCTTGCCTTCTTTGTTTTGGCCCAAGTTGAGTGGAGCAAAATCGTCCGGGTTTCCCGCCGCGAGCTGGCCTGGTTAGTTTACATTATCTTCTCGATCGCACTCGCGGGAGCGATCGGCTACCAAGTTAGCACACTGGTCAACATTTTAGCTCTTCTTTGGAAGTAAAGCGTTTGAATTTTAAAGTTTGGAAAACCGCTCAGTTCCCCGTGGCTGAGCGGTTTTTTAGTAGAATGTTGAATTATGGTGCAAAAATGAGCGACCAAATTAACGCCTGAGACCGTTGAAGAAGCGCTGCAAACGCTCCGCTACACGATTATGAAAGTCGAAGTGCCAATTGAAGTCAAGTTTGAACTTGAGTCGTGGGAGATTTTGGGGCAGGACGACGAGTTTAACTTCCAGGGCAGCGGTCAGTGGCGGATTGATAGCGAACAAGGCGGCGGGCCTGTCAGCGTCAGCACGACTTTCAACGTGGTTGACGGCGAGCTAGAGGTCGACGTCGAGACGATTGATTACGACCACGTTTTTGACTGGGAAGAAATCGAGTTTGAAACCACGAGCGGTTCGTTTTTTTATAACGACGATGATACTAACGAAGAGTACCCCAACGACGACGACGAAGGCTACTCCCAGGAAGTGAGCGAGCAAGTTAACGAAGAGGTTGACGACCAGTTAGAAACCGAACGCGCGGAGGAAGAAACCGATTTTTAAGCAGTTTTTTCCGAGCGACGCTCGGCAGTGGAAACGCTACTTCCTAATTTTCTACCCGGTCATTCTCGGGGCGATGCTTTTCGCCTTGAACGGTTTCATTGATAACTTCATGGTCGGTAAGTACAACGCCGTGGCGGCCATTTCGGCCGCAAACCAGTGGACTAACATCGTCAACGGCATCGTGATCGGCGTCGCTGCCGCCGGCGGAGTCGTTTCGGCCCAACTCTTTTACTCGCGCCGTTACCAAGCTTTTAAACAAATGGCTCGTTTTCGCTACGTGCTGACGACTGGCATGACGTTAGTGATTGCTATTTTAGCTTGGACCATTCCTGACCAGCTTAATTCACTCTTCCTTAAGCGACCCGAGCACCTCGTTAGCGAAGAACTTCAGTACGCTAAAAACTTGGCGATGGCGCGCGAGTACATCCAAATTACCGCTTTGCAGTGGATCCTTTTCTCTATCTCAGGTAACTTGGGGATTCAGTTGCGCGAGGTTGGTAAAGGCCACGTGACAGTTTACTGAGGCGTCGGAACGCTTTCGATGAACATCACTCTCAACGCGATTTTGATCTACGGCTTTGATGTCGGCGTCAAGGGAGCCGCCTGAGCTTCGGTTGCGGCTCGGATGGTAGCGATCATGGTCGGTTTCACCTTTATCGTCAAAACTAATTCCCAGCTCCGGTTTGCGCCTTGGACAGTTTTTAGTTTTGACTGACACACGGTTAAACTGTTTTTGGCTCGTTTCGCGCTTTTCTTTGCCTACACGACGATGGTTGCGCTGGTGACATTCCGGGGCTACTTTTACGACCTTGGTTATCCGCAAGGTTCGCTCGGACAAGGGATTGGCGCCACGGCCGTGCTCGGGCTGAGCAACGCGATCATGAACGTTTTCACGACTGCTTTTGCTGGCGTGGGTGTCATGGCAGCCAACTTCGTTGGATCCGAGCTTGGTAACGGTCGGATTGAGCAAGCTAAAATCAACTCCAACCAGCTGAAAGGTTTTAACACTAGCATGTCGGCGGTTTTATCAATCATGGTCGTGATCGTTGCTTCTTTTGCGCCGCTGATGACTTTCCTAGTCGACACGAGCGACCCGAACGTTGACACCGCTAGTCAACTCACTGAAGTACGCAACACGCTCTACGTGATCGCGCTCTTTTACCCGTGTTGAATTTGGTTTACGACCACCTACCGCAACGGCGTATCGGGCGGTAAGACGCTGGTTTTTTCTTTGACCGACTGGCTCTTTAACTTAGCCCAAATCGGTTGAGCTTGAATTGTGATGGGCCCGCTCAAAGATATTTGGCCGGTTTTAGAAGGTCGTTTTTGACTGGCCTACATCGTCTTTTTCGCCTCTGACATAGCCAAGCTAATCGCTCAGGAGATTAACTACTACGCGGTTGACTGAGCCCAGGTAATTGACGCGGCTCACGTGGAGGCTGACAACGCTCTTCAAAGTGGCCACGACGTGATTGACAGCGAACCGCTTGATGTTTAAAACTCGTTTATAATTGCCTTACCTTTATGTACGACCACCAGCAGATCGAGAAAAAGTGGCAGAAATACTGGGCTGAAAACGACGTTTTTGCCACGCCTGAACTCGCCAGCAAACGCCCTAAGTTTTACGTTTTAGACATGTTTCCTTACCCCTCAGGACAGGGGCTCCACGTTGGTCACCTGGAGGGTTACACCGCTAGCGACATCGTCGCCCGTTTCAAACGTCTGAAAGGTTTTGACGTTTTGCATCCGATTGGTTGGGATGCCTTCGGACTGCCAGCCGAGCAGTTTGCCATTCAAACCGGTCAGCTGCCCCAGAAGTTCACACCCCAAAACATCGCTAACTTTCGGCGTCAACTGCAAATGCTCGGTTTTTCCTACGATTACGCCAAGGAAGTCAACACGACTGATCCGGATTTTTACGCTCAAACGCAAGCGATTTTTAGCGCTCTCTACCAGCGCGGGATGGCCGAAATGCGCGACGTACAGGTCAATTGGAGTCCCGACCTTGGCACCGTCTTGGCCAACGAGGAAGTCTTGCAAGACGAGCAAGGTCGGCCTGTTTCCGAGCGGGGTCATTTTCCGGTCGTGAAAAAAGCGATGCGCCAGTGGGTGCTTAAAATCACCGCTTACGCCGACAGGCTTTACCAGGACCTTGACTTAGTTGACTGACCGAGTTCGCTTGTCAACTTACAGCGCAACTGAATCAAGAACCCCGACGGATCGCTTCACTTACGCGACTGGGTGTTTTCCCGCCAGCGCTACTGGGGTGAGCCGTTTCCGATTTTGCACGGACCCGCTGGTCAAATCAAGTTGGACCAAAACTTGCCGGTGGTTTTGCCGCTGCTTGAAGAAATTAAGCCGGGACTAGACGGCCAGCCGCCGCTCGCCAACGCCGATCCGACTTGGCTTTGGGTCGAGTTAGCCGGGCAAAAGTGGCGCCGGGAAACTAACACTATGCCCCAGTGGGCGGGCTCTTCCTGGTACTACTTAGCTTACATTTTAAAAAAGCGGACCGGCGGTTACTTAGCCCTTGGCACGCCCGCCGCTCAAAAAGTCCTTAAGCGCTGGTTGCCCGTCGACCTTTACATCGGCGGTCAAGAGCACGCGGTTTTGCACCTTCTTTACGCCCGATTTTGGCACAAAGTGCTCTACGATCTTAAACTCGTGCCGACCAAAGAGCCGTTTGCCAAAGTCGTCAACCAGGGGATGATTTTAGGACCCGACCGGCAAAAAATGTCCAAGTCGCGCGGCAACGTGATTAGTCCCGACCAAATCGTGTTCACTTACGGAGCCGACGCTCTCCGTCTTTACGAAATGTTCAGCGGACCGCTCGAAGAAACTAAAACTTGGTCAACCCGTTCGCTGCGAGCAATGCGTAAGTGGTTAGACCGGGTTTGAAACCTAGTTCAAAAAACCAGACTGGGCAAATCGAAAGTTAGCAGCGAATACCACCTGATGCTTAAGCAAGTTAGTCAGTTAATCGATCAACTTAAGTTTAACGTGGCGATTTCAAAGTTGATGGTTTTTGTCAACGCCTTAGCCGACCAGCTCCAAGCTAGTCAAGCCGAGTTAGTCGGCTTGGCGGTGGTTTTGTCGCTTTTTGCACCCCACTTAGCCGAGGAAATTTTAGTCCACTTGAAGGCTAAGCCGCTTGACCAGCAAACTTGACCGGTTTTTGACCAGCGTCAAATTCGCCGTGAGCCGCTCGTGTTGGCCGTCCAAGTTAACGGCAAGTTGCGGGCCACCTTGGAGTTAGAAGATTCTCAGGCGAATGCCGAACTAGTGCGCAAGCAAGCGGCCGCCTTGCCGAGTGTCAGTCGTTATTTAAAAGGTGCTAAAGTCGCCAAAGTCGTTTACGTAGCGGGCAAAATTGTTAATTTTGTGCTCAGGCCGGCTAGCAAGTCGGTTAATTAGCGGGTGTTATAATCAAAAAATGTACCTAATTTTTTCCGACGCTGACCACACGATGTACGACCGAGGTCCGAATAGTTTAAGCCGTGAGAACGAGAGTAAAATTAGCCAAGTCCAAAACCAGGGCGCCGAGTTTGTGGTTGTAACTGGTAACGGCTACTTTCCGATGATTAAGGGGCTAGCGGCCCAGCTCAGGCTGCGCTACGTAGTCACTTCGACGGGCGCTTACATTTACGATCGCCAGTTAGAAAAACCGCTTTTTGCTAAGACGCTAGACCCCCAAGTTGTCGGCGCTGTTTACCAGCGTTTGGCCGACCAAGGACTTTACTTTTGCGCTTGAACCGAGCGCGATTTTTACATCAGCCCCGACCTCGGCGATCGACTTGACGCCCAGCATGAGATTCGTCTCCAAATGATCGGTGATTTAAAAGTTTTGCCTTTTGATCCAGCCGTGCCAGGACTTTTAAATCTGCTCGTGATTGCGCGTCCGGAGAAGCTAGTTCAAGCGCAAAAAGTTGCCCAAGAGTTGAAACTAAACTGGATTTTAGTCGACGAGCACACCGTGGCAATTTTACCGCCCGAAATTTCCAAGGGCTTTGCGGTCCAGTGGCTCGCCAAGCACTTAGGGG